TCTGACAAAAATACCGGAATGTATTTTGAATTAAATAAGAATTGGACCATACACAGTGTATGCCATGTTTTCTGAAATGAACTCCAAATTAGAACAAAATTGTAGACATTTGTGGAACAGGCTATAGATATCTGTACAATTTAAAAATGCAGACTAACATTTTGTTGGAATGAGCTATAAAGTTGTGAAGGTGCAATATTTCTTACACTTGTGAACTACTGTCACTCTGGATGGAATGAATGTTTGTCTGCTAGGAAGTTGTAAGGCTGTTAGTTTAGGGATTGGGTTGTACCTAGATTATGTAATTTTCTGTATTTTTACCTGTGAAAGCATGGTACAGTGCCGAACTAGTGCCAAATTCAGGAAAAAAGAATTAGTGCTTCTGAATTCTTTTCTCCATTTGAGAAGAAAGGAATTGTCTCCTTATATCTTTCTCCGGTTATAAATTCATAAAAAAATCTTAATTTTTTTATAAATTGGAAAAAATTTGAAGAGACTGAAAGCTGAATACTGTTGTTTTCAATGATAACATTTGACTTTTTGATCGTTTGACATGATTTAAGCGAGTTACAAGAAAGCTGGTTTGAGCCCACAATCCAGTCATGAGCATGAGAACGGTTTCATGAATGCTGCTGGCCCTGGTATGACATCTGAAATACAAGGGAATTGGCTTACAGTTCTATTACTGGTAAAATATGTGTTACAGGGGTTGGGATTATCACCAGACACTGCTTTATCACAGGTAAAACCAGCTAAAAACTGCTGTTTTCATAATTAATGATTCACTGAAAATAAATGAGTTAGGATAAACCTCTGATAGCGGGATTCACAAAGTTCATCATGAAATGATGGTTTGTGATCTACAATTATTGCCATGACGATAAACGGCTTTTAACCAACATGACTGCCATTCATTTCCTTTATGAAGGCACTTATCCTTTGATGCTTTGGAGTGTGTTAAATGTCTATAATTACTGAAAAAAATGTGCTTGGTTGTTAAAAATGAGCTTTCATGACATATTACTTCATTTCTTCATCAATACCAACCTCAAGAGAATATTACAAGTTCTTGGTATTGAAGGGTTTTCTAATCGACTCGTCATTCCCCATAGTCTTGCAGTAGATTGATCATTGTTGTGTGATGGAACAGTCCACTGTGGTCTATGGAGAAGAAAGGGTCTGTAGTGTGTCAAATTCATTATATTTTTGCCTTGGTATACATCTCAGCTTCTACATGTGTAAATTGATTACATAATGCTATTTCTATACTCAGATATACATTTTGATTCATTCATTCTATTTTGTTTTCTGAAATTGACTATATTATGTATATTTTTTTTATAGTTTGTTTCAGAATTATATCATATCATAACTTCACCAGAATCAGGGTCTGATTGTACAACAAACCTAGGAATTTCTGTTACAGAAATGTAAATGGGGTTTTTTTGTGGGTTTTTTTCTGATTCCAATAAAATGTCTGTTTCAATAGGGACAAAGTCAAATAATATATATGGTCAGTTTCAGAATGTTTCACCCATGTTCATTACATTCACCACGAGCTTGCAAGTTCATCAAACTTACAGTAAATTTCTTTAAGCAAACTTTCTAAAATATTTAAAGAAAACAGTTTTATTTCAAACAAAAATGATTTAAATAAAAACGTGATCTGACTCCAAGACCAAGGTAGGGATCTGACCGTATAAGATTTTTTTTTTCGTAAACATTGTAGTATGATTTTTTCTGCAAAATGTTCACCAGGTTAATTTTGTAGAATTTTAGGGAATCTTAGAAATTACATGTCAAAAACTGATGGTGCTATGATATAAAAATTGCCATTGTTGTCATGTTTTACTTTTTGCCATAACAGACTTTTTATTATTTAATCCAAATTAATTTACCAATTAAGAAAATCTGAATTGTAAAAATTCTTCTAACAAAATTGATATCCAGTCCAGTGTATTCTTAACATGCTGAAATTAGTTGTTCAGGGCCTGAAGACCAATCAAATCATGTGTTTTAGAATGTTGACCAATCAAATCATGTGTTTAGAATGGAGACCAATCAAATCATGTGTTTAGAATGGAGACCAATCAAAAAGTGTGTTACAGAATTTATAACAAAACAAATCAAAATATCATAATCCTGTTGTGCTATTGAATTCGCTTATAGAATCATTTCATATTAAATATGCCCATGGATGATTGCACTTTGTTTTATAACCCTATTTAGGAAAAGTCTGTAAGTTGTTTACACTTAATCTCTTATTTTTTTAATTCTTATTTATATATTTAAAAAAAAAATCCGTTCAGTTGTTGCAGTGTTCAAACACGCTTCGTTTATAAGCCAGTGTTCAGTTGTTCGAAGTAAGTTAAACTCCAAATTTTATGGGTTTTTTTAAATGTAAAAAAGTGCAAGTGTTTTCATGATTTATAATCGTGAAATATGTAGTTTTCAATAGAAATCTCAAATATCATGGAAGCATTTGTGATTGGAAATTTTAGATAATTTCTTGTTCAGCTGACAGCGCGCTGACGAACTGACACCCAGTTGTTATACATGAAAAGAATGTTTGTTTTGATGATTAATTCTTTTTCCTATTTCCAAATTTCAAGAATTAAAAATGGAAACTCCCTTAACCCTTGCAAAGTGTACCAGAGGGCAGCAGTAATTCACTCATTCACCCCTAAACTTTCATAATGAACTATTCCAACCATTGAATTGGAAGGGTTCAAATCGGTCTTCAGGGTTGAATGAGTTAAACACTAATGTAGCATTTTTTTTCTTTCTGCAACATCTTTTTTACAAATATGGTGTTAGGAGAAGTGGTAATTAAAAGTATATTTCATTTGCTTAGAGGAATCAATTTCACTGAGCACACTGTGTCCAAAGGGAATTATAGAAACACAGTTTAAAAAAGTTAAATTTTGAATTTATTACTTTAAAAAATCATCTTTGCCGATACAATGTAGTAAAGTTTGTAAAACTGATCGTTCTGATGTGTTGGCTTCGAGGACTGTTTACCTATATGGTGTGGATAGGGAAACTACGTGGAAGGTCGTTGTTATATTTAATTTATATTTTAGATGTTTATTTATCATTTAGTCATATTGTAAACTACATCATAAAACATTTTACAATTATTGTAATTATATGTATCATATCTATGTATGCCAAAATATATTGTGAACAAATCTGACATTTTGTTTTTTGTTGAATATTTCACCACTGTAGACCATAATAGACTCATCCAGATCAATGCATGGTAGAGTCTACTAAAGTTGCATAGGGGTGAAAAGGGTTAAGTTGTATGCAATTGTTTACATTCACAAATTTGTGTGTCCTGAGTTAGCGAGATTCAGGTTTAGTTTCCTTTAAAGAAAAAAACAGATTATGTTTTTCTGAAAATTCAATTTTGTCATAACTATTTGTTATTTGCGTCACTAAAATTTCAATAATAAATGTCACAACATCATAAAATGATTTGTATTTTTGTGAAGTTTCCAGTTCTGTTTAAAAGAGAATAAAATGAGTAAGACATAACCTAAATGTGAGCCAAAAAGATAATGTTTTTCTTAATTTTGGAAATATTTCACAAGCAATGTTTAATTTAAAGTTGTAAAGGTAAAGAGCCCCACTACATTTCAGGTAGAGAGCCCCACTACTTTTCTACTGTATACAGCTGGCATTCAGGTAGAGAGCCCCGCCACTTTTCTACTGTATACAGGCCTTAGAGAGTTACCCCAAAAAATATGTTGCAGAAACATATTACCAGTAATAGCCATTTGCTTCATAATCATATGTAACTTTTTCTCATACAATAGATTTATCTTTTATTGTACTTATAACATGGCATGTGTCCCTACTGGAATTGAGATGTTCCGGAATCATAAAATTTGTAGAGAAGACGAAATGATAGAGAAATAATTACCCAAGTCAGCAAGTACAGGTTCAGGACTTATACTCAAGTTTACACAAATAATCTAATCTCAGAATAAAACGGGCTGGTAGCAAATTAACTATAAATATCTATTTTCTATGATGAAAGTGCTCAATTATAATTGAGTGTTTTGTTCACTAAGAATTAATATTCATTATTGTAGAACATATTTAAATTGTTTTTTCCAAAATATGAGAAAAGTTGGAAGTATTTGATTGGACCCCCCCNATTATTACATACATAATACAATGTAATTGTTATAAACCATGTGAATTTCAAATAAATTGAAAAAAATATATGATGCGGTTGTTCATCTGATTTCTTTTAAAATCCGAAACATGCGAAACTTGAGTCTTCTTTTACAAAATACCAGGGCACTTATTCTTGAAACTGTTATCATGCCCAAACTCATCAAATGCAGACCGATATGTTTTGATTACACACCTGCACATTTCACGTGCTAACACTAGTTCACAAGCTCGGGGTCACTACAACTTTTGTTGTCGAGCGAATTACGCTCCGTCGGGTAAATCATTTCACAAATGCTATAACAATAACTTTTTTTCAAGGTAGATAACTCTCATTAGGATCAAAATGATCGTAAAATGTAAAATAAATGAATTATTAAGGCTTTGTGTATATTTGGTTCAATTATCACTCTTTTTGTATTAAACTACATTGTGTCCTGTTTGCTTTTAGCTTGTATATAACTACTTTTATCCATACAATTTCAATAAAATACTTTGTGTAACGTGTTCAAGATATTTTATGATAAATACAATATTTGTAGGGTTGATTAGCAAGGTTTCTTTTCATTTTTTTTATCTTTGTAATAGTTTTGAACAATGCAACACACTCCAAAAATGTGTGATAAATTTGACAAAAAAAATCAATTTTTCGGTATTTTTTACAAAAACATCCCCGGTTTATCGTAATGCTTAGATGATCATAAAATCATCTCTACATAGTGACATAATCATTATGTGAAACTTTCATTGAATTCTGCTGGCTAAATGCGAAAGGGTGGAGCCTCCTTAACACAAAGAAACTCACAAAAAGACAATTAGTTTTCAGGTTTTATTTTATACAAATAGAGATTCTGTGTATATTATGTAAAAAAGAAAATATCTTCACAAGAAGCAGTTATGGCACTCATCGCATACTTGCCAACCTTTCAATTTTTGTATTCCTTTTTAGGGGGGTGGGGTGAAAGGAAGAAACTTCATATACAAGGATTTTTGTTTGACAAAAAAAAATCACAAATTGTTCTATGCAATGAATTGAAATTGAACAAAATGTAGGACATTGGGAATTCTGATGATTTCAAAAGTAAAAAATTACAGTGACAACTCAAGAATCTCCCTTAAAAATATGAGAGCTTGGCAAGTATGTTTTCACCATAGAAGTATACTTGTACATTTGTGTATACACTAACACTCAATCTCTAGTACTCCATATCATCATAATGGTAAACCTCAATCACACACCTCATACTTTATATCCAAGTGAACCTTGGTTACTCTTTATCTAATGTTACTCTTTATCTAATGTTACTCTTTATCTAACATTACTCTTTATCTAATGTTACTCTTTATCTAATTACCCTGCTGGTCAGCTACCTCCATTGCCGTTACTTATGCTACTCCTGTGTCGTGCAAATCTACACAAGCCTTTCTATTGTCAAGGGGCAATAACTCCAACAGAAATTTTGCAAAGTTACAATAAAATCAGAGCCATACGTCGATCAGAAAAAACATCTAACTGCATTTACGTTAATCATGCACACCTGTACTTTCCCTGTGCCCTGTTTAAAACATTGTGTACAAGTTTTGCTTACAAGGTTTCAGGGATAGAAGTTTATACTTGTCTATGAGCAAGGCACCTGAGTATAGTACCCCCAAATTATTGTTTGCATAGCTCGATGACTATACTTCATAAAAAACATGTGTAATAGGAGAAAGAGAAAAGCCCAGCCAGACCGGGATTTAAACCCAGGACCCTCCAAACACTCCACCCATTGAGCTACCTGTCCGCCAGTGATTAACCCAGTCCAGTCCCACTACATTCCTCCCTCAAAGGCTTCTTCCCTAAAGATGCAGCAATTTACAACCCAAGTTCAGTATACCTTTGTCACGCAATCATCGAGTATTTAAAACAAGCATTCACTCAGTACTCAAAACAAGGGCTGGCCAGCTCGCCAATTTTGTGATAGGAGAAAAAGACCAGACCGTTATTCAAACCCAGGACCCTCCAAACTTGAGATGGACGCTCTACCAATTTTGACCTTCTTTGTTGCCAACTTTGGACCCAGTCCAGTTCCGCTACACATGTAATTATAGGCAGCCATCAATGAAAATACTTTTGTCATGAGACAAAAGATATTTAACTAGAACTGTTGCCAGAATGGCTGACTAATACCCCTGTCTGTGCCAAGAACTGTAGGAATAGTTCTTTCTAAAATGTTTTTAAACAAAGGGGCATAACTACATGAAAAGGGAGGTAATACCAATCTATATACTTTATTTACATCCCCTCTGTCTGTAGCCACAACATTGTTCGCACCACACCTCCCAAAGTACTGCACCACACCTCCCAAAGTACTGCACCAATTTGAATGATACTAAGTACAACACTTATATATATATATAATTAAAGCTAAGGGAGGTAATACCAATCTATTTACTTCATTCACATCCCCTCAATGAAAGTGTTACACTTGGTTTGAAATTATACAGAGCCAACAGAGTCTGATCTCGATACAGATAAATGTGTCGATATCGTTGACCTCAATATTAACCCTTGATAAAATGATTTCTTGTTGGTTTGTTCATTTGTGTTACATGATTGGATGTAAATTAAATAAAATTGAAATAAGGAGAAGTAGGAGAGATATATTCAGAAAATCACTACTGTTCTTTTACATACATAAAAAACAGATACATCTACTCTGTCATACAATGAGCATAAATATATTTTTCCTGTCGCAAAACAAACATCTGACTTACTGTATACCGGGATTTTTTTGCCGCAGTTTAGCTTTCGTCCCTTTTCACCCTCAGCAAACATTAGTGAACAACATAATATACATAGCAATCAAATGAGAAGGGTCAATTAACACTGGGTGAATACAGATTTTTTCGTACCGCGAAAGTTACACATGGCGAAAATTTCCCGGTATACAGTAATAATTGGAAGCACAGTACATACCAAAAGTATGAATTTGGCAAAACAACTTTTTAAGTCTTACACTACAAAAATACACATGAACAAAGAATTTTATCCTAAATTAATTTTGGACAATATTGCACCATTGTAAAGATGGAAGATATGCTGGATGTTATTACAGTAACAATGAAGCCATGAACTCGTAGCCATGTTACAGCTCACTTTAGATCTGACAGAGGTGTCAACGATACCAATACCAATACCATTATCCAACAGATAAAACACTTGTTTTACTTGTGTAAAAGCACTTAAGGAAAGTAACCAAGTTTCATGATAATACGACAAATGTAAGATGACAAAAAACGAAGTACATGTATTTTAAATCATTTTTACACTATTTATTTGTACTTTTTTGTTTCATCGTTATGAGTTTTTCATAAAAGTTCCACAAGGTCTGTTTTTCTTTATAGTGATGATTTATCAAAGTTAAAGTCTTATAGAAAAGTTCTAATGTATAGTTAAATACAGCTTTTGGCAGTGAACCAGACTACATGGACCAATAAAAAATGATAGAAAAACAAATTTTAACCTTTTTTCTTCATATTCACTCTATAAATGATACATATTCACATATAGTCATAGTGAAGTTGATTCTTCTATAATAACGTCTTCATCAAAAACATCTTCACACCTTGAGCATTTACCTTAATGTCAAAGGTGACTCAAACACACTTCAAACTTAATTATAAAAACAATCATTCTTCAAAAGCATCTTCATACCTTGAACATTTTACTGACTGACTCAGTTGACTCTACCACACTGTGAAGTTAATTGTGATATTTTTAAAAACATCTTTACACTTAAAACATTTACTTAATGTCACAATTGACTCTAACATAGTAGGTATATCATGAATTGCTTACGAGGAAAGTTAATCAGAAATTCAAACTCTTACAGATATTTATTCCAGCACAGGACGTTCCATGCAAATTTTCAGTGATGTACACAAGCATTCTCTCACAAAACTCTTAAACAAAATTTTCTAGATCAAATACCAAATTTTATTCTGCTGTATGAATTATTCAAGATCTTGGTCTGTATTCAGATTCTGAATTCAAGCCCAATCACAGGTACTAGCCTTGTCCGTCATTAATATGTTTATATTATTGGTGCATTCACACACAAGGCTAGTACTTGTGGCCCCATCATTGCTTTGCTGATAGAATTATCCAACTTCAAATTTATTCAATGATTTGAAAGAATTTTAGAGGCTAGATGCAGACAATTGATTTCAATGTCTAGACTACTTTTTGAATATGTTGCATGATTCCTTTGAGATGAAGAATGTCAGTTTGAAGACAGAATTCATACTTGAACACAAGAATTGTTAAATGTCCCCAGGCCCTGGTTCTGATACCTATCACTGATCCTGGTACATACAACCCCTTTCACACACCTAAGTACTGCTAAATCTCATAACTCTTCCTTCTTTTCCTTTTTAATTTTCTTTATTTTATTGTCCTTGGTAATTGACGGCTTTTTGTCGTCAGTGTCTGACTTTTTAGTTGTCCTGTTATCGTCCGAGTTCTAAAATTGAAATAGAATCAAAACTATAAAATGTTACTAAAACAACCATGTCTCTTTGCTCCCTCTTAGATGAAAATGCATTCTCGATACTCTAGGAGTTAATTACGCTCACTTACGTTCTCCGCACCCTTGGATGTGTTTGGACTAAATTGAAGGCTCATTGTGCGACACCTTGTGGATGATACAAGTAGTCTAGTCAGATCCCTTGATGCACATCAAAAGAATCGCGGGCAGTATAATGGTGATTTTCGCTAGCCAAGGGTTACGATCCGGTCTTCCTACTCACCAGATTAGGTAGATCGTACCGGATCGTAACACTTGTATATACATGTATAATGGTAAAATTGACTAGTTTTGAATGTGGGATGTTGCTCCTCTGTAATCTTCACATATCTGCCTAGCGATGGGTCAGGTATTTACCCGAGACCAATCAAATAGCTTTCTTTGTGCCATCAACTTTGCCATGACATATTCAAGACAAGAGGTGCAGAGAGAGTAAGTGAGCATAACTCCTGAAGTATCGAGGATGATGAGAATGGAGCTAAATACAAAGTCTAACAAGGGAAATGGAGCATCGGTGTAAATGCAAAGTTAAACTGTAGTTAGCAAAGTAAAGAATTTAGTTACTGCACAGGTCACAGTGACCTACATATACTGGTGTAGTAATCCTTACGGTCTATTTACCTCTTTTTACATTTCTACCTCTTTAAAAAGTCCCTCTTTAAGCATTACTTAAAGAAATTGCGTTCATATCTCTTGATCAGGGTCATTTCAAAGCTTATCATCTCGCCTCAAATAACACGAGTCAACCATTAAAAGAAAACATTTTGGTTCTGGGAATCTCGATTGTATGCTGCATGAGAACTGAATCAGTCATGAGGAATTCATAAAAAAATCAAGCATTTTTTTTAGACTACCCAATTGGGAATTCAAAATGGAAAAAAAATCATAAAATTAAAAATCTTTTTATTTTATTTTGAATTGGTGCTCTGTTATATAACATGCAACTGTGTAGCCATTCAACACTTCCCAACTTACAAATGATACAAATATACACTCGAGTGACATTTTCATGTCCCCATTTTGTTTTTTACAATATCTGTTCTCACCTGCACAGCAGCCCCATCATACGACTTCCCTTCGATGGAGACTTCCTTACAACGCTCCTGCTTGACCAGGAAATCTTTTACCTCCCACGCCTTGGACCCATCACTCAACATGAAGATTACACGATCCTCGCTCACAACAAACCTGGGAAATATAGCAGAAATATCATTATTTTAGTCAATTCGCTTAACCAATAGTCGAACCCTTACTACAAATAAAGATTGCACGGCCTTCGGCTCGCTCACCACAAACCTAGAAAATATTGTAAGTTGTAACTATAGACAATTATATAAATAAACAGGTCAATCGTTGTCCCATAAAAGAACAGGGCAGCAAGGCTGCTTTAATTTCCTGTCGCCAAAACGGGAAGACTAATTTGACCAGATTTGTTCTTTTATGAAATAGGAACAGCGCTAGTGAATTGATGCTGTTTTCTGGTGAGCATTGGGAGAAATAATAAAAAAATAAGGTCATAGAAAATAGGTCTAGGACAAAACAACTCCACACAGACCAAGCCTATGTTCTGAAAAACAAACTTTGTACCCTTTATTTTGAGGACATACTCACACTATCTGTAACACAGTCTACATTTTTTTATGGGGTTTTCCTCTTTTAAAATAGTATAAAGTGCCTGCCATCTTTGATTGATCTAGAGCTAGCAATATCAGTACATTGTACCAAAATAAAATCATTGAAACGCTTTGCAAATGTGAGTACCAAAACTGGAGTGGAGGTGCGTAGAAACACATCATTTTATGAATTTTAGAGGAGAAATGGATAGGTTGCTATCAAGGTTTCCATCACCTGGTATCTAGAAAGATAAATGTAAGACAACTACAAATTTAACCATCAAACCATTTTAGTTTGTCATAATTCTGGTTCAGAAACAGGATTATCTCCTAACATACCTTTGTGTATCATAATTGGCATTAAACAAACTTGTATGCCAGAGTTGAGAAATCTGTTCCGTCTCCCTCTGTGTTGGTTCTCCTGAAAAACAGGACAACAGAGTCAAAATTTAATACCAATTAGCCATCATGTAATGTTTATCAAATATTCATAAATCAAACTTATCATCAATATCATATACTGGTACTTGTCCGTGCTAAGGGCTGTTTTGCATACATACATGTGTGATACTGCTAGCTTTGCATAAGCCATATCCCAGACCATAATTTGTGAACAGCTTTGAGACGACCTACGAACTAGGTTGTGACAAAGCAATACATAAGAACCTCAAAATATTATTACATATAATCCATATAACACAAACACAATTTCCTTTTAACTCCTGAATCATGATCAACACCTCAAATTGGTAGTGTACATGTTGCATATCCATCTGTATATGCTATTCTGTTCATGGTGTTTTATTTAAGGTAGAACGTGATGTCATGAAATATAAATTTTCTGTGTTATTTGTTATTTGATAATAGTTTGATGGTATAGAGCAGTATAACCTTTAACTATTCCATCCTGTTGTTTGATGAAGTCCATTTTACTTTCTGATATAACAAAGTAATGTTTCAGTGAACATTCCGGGAAGAATACATTCCCTGGTACCACATATTTTGCAAACGTACAAGGACCTCCTGTAATAATACCAGGTATTCTACTAACTGAGCCACAGAATTTTAATGTTTTACCTGATATTGTTGCAAACATCATAAGAGTTTTGCCCTTTTTGCTGACTTTGAGCATGCCCTCGGGGTTGGACGGGTCCAACTGGGACAAATCCACTTTGGGGGGCTCCCTTTTCCATTCAGGCAACTCGTCCTCCTCCAACTCATCTTCATCGTTATCCTGTGTAATGAATGCAGATTTTCATTGTTACCCTGAGCAGAGACATATAAAGACAGATATTGGCAACTCGCACAGATCTCGCAAACGCACGCATGAGCCAATTATTCTCGGAGAGACAATTTTTATATACGGAACACAACAACTAGTTATATGTTAATAGAAGTCCATCTGAATACTGAAATAGATGTACATGTATATAAATTTAAGCAAACCATGGGTTTAGAACGCACTTCGTGATATGTACTTATAATGAGGGGCGACTAATTAGTGTGTTAACATGCACATTTTTATTGTTACCTATGATGAGTTCAGGTATGAATTTAGCAGGGTGTGTCAGTGTTCTCTAAAAAGTGGGGGAACTGAGAACACCCTGTGTCAATATGTCGTGAACCTTTTCCTAGAATTTTAAGAGTAAGATTACAATTACCAGTACTGATCCCCTATGGCTTTTTACCCCTACCCGCACCTGCCTCCCTTAGTTCAGCTCCTGTAAGATATCTCCTCACAGGTAAGTCACCTTCACACCAGGGGTTACTTGCGTCAGGTACGAGTGTTCCATTATAAGCTTTATACTACACAACTAACAAATAGGTATACAGTGATAACAATGCTCTTATAAAAAGGTTTTTTTTTGTGAAATCATCCTTTTCTCTTAAAACTTTTTTTAATGATATGTCAATCAATAGAATTTAAATCACTGATCAGATTTAAAATTGACCGTCTAGAAAAAAGGAGTTTAAAGAACAGTCTTGGTTATTTTTTCTGTATTATAATGTAATGGCTGCCACTGTATGATGATCACTTCTCATTTTGAAATCGTGATATATTCTCAGGTGAATTTAGCCATTTTGTAGTTATATCACAAAGCTGAAACCAAAAAGAAGCTAAATCTGAAAAATATTGTTAATTATAAAAAGGCCCTCTAGGAAAAATCTAAATTTAACATACAAATTTTCTCATCTTGGTAACATTATTGTATACAAGGACGAGTAATCATAAATTGCGTTTCGGAAATCCTTTAACGATATTGTAGGCAATGATTTCATAGCAATCCAAAGGGTCATCCAAATAGACTACCCGACAGGGGTGTGCTTCGGTATGAGAAAGGGGCAGTTTCTTATCTCTGTAGTATATATACGTCTCTGCCCTGAGTAATTAATTCAGATTAGAGATGTTGTCTTCATGATTATATTTCGTAATGAATTCAGATTTTCATTGTTACCCTAAGTAATAAATTCAGTTTAGCGATTGTCATCTTCATCATTGTCCATTGCCATAAATTAAGAAAGGCCAAACATAAAATGTGATGTAAAAGATATTGCAACCCTTCAGTCTTCAGACAAGAACTCACTCACTATAATAGTGTTACAGTTGACAAGCTTCTTGCTCTATTAATACTAATGTAAATATGTATATGTATGTGCCATATATGTATATGTTTACGCCACAGAAAACAGTCAATTGTTGCTCACAATTTTAAATTTCATCAACTTCCATCTACATATATAGGACATTACCTAAAACTGACTTTCAGTTTTAAATAGTCATTTCGTCTCCAAACTGCAAATGCGTACAATAAGGGGGAAAAAACCCAATAAAATCAAAACATGTCTGCAAAACATGTCTTGTTGAGTCAAATTGTAAGGCAACGCCTTCAAATTATATCTAAGTGAGAGTTTGTGGTACTCATGAATGTGAATCGTGACGTTTCGAGCGACCAGGACTATGGACGAAACGTCTGAATTCGTTAAGTACGTACCTCCCACTGATCAAATAGGCGTTCTACATCTGCGTCAGAATAGTCCTGTATCTTCTTCTTTTTCCATTTTTCTCCGGCAACATTGTCTTCTTTCTTATCCTGATTGTCTTTACTAGCTAGTACTACACAGTTAACAAGGAAAAGTAGTATAAATACTTGGCGAAGAAGATGTATCTGCTTGCGACACGCCATCTTCCGGTAGTAGTTCTAAAACTATAATCAATAATAAAACGAAAGTATTTTTCGATGAATACATTTAAATTCTTTTATAGTATATCTTTATAATATCTTAATGATAACACCAAAATAGAAAATCCCAATTTTTTATTTTTATTACTTTAAATCATCAAACTATACAATTGATTTAAATTAATCTGATATAGTTGTTTTTGTAATTTATATTTACCAACCGAAACGAACAGGAAGTAGGTCTTGAACTTGTAAACACAAGGGTTTGTGAACATTTGACAGATCTTGTTAATTTTTAAGCAACATGGATGTACATTACCCCTAAATGAAGAGTTCATGAGGTAAGTAATTGGGTTTGTACTTATGTACATTTTTATCAGGAACGAAAATTTGGTTATCGTTAATTGTCTAATGTTGCTTTTATTTCTAAGTTAATGACACATAAACCCAAGACTGTTGGACACAGAGTTTTTATTAATAAGGTTGATGTGCAGGTAGTTAAGGTTTACATAAGAACAGAAAACTTGCCAGACTGAATGGATTCATTCCTGGTTTTGATCTTTTACAATACAATTATTTTCTAATATACATGTACTTGTTTGTTAAAGGGGCTATTTTGTGATATGACAACCTGAAAGTTGAGTCGATACTCAAAATATATATTTCCTAACGAAAGTCTACGTGGTTGATAATGACATGACCTGAAGCTAACTTCCAGTGTTGTCAGTTTCATCTTTTGGGAAAGCCGTGAAAAAAATAGCTACGCCCAAAATAGCGCAACAATAAATTCCAGGCCTTTCAGTGAGAAGTAAACATGTACAGCACTACGAACACAGTGTCAGTTATGAGTCCGAGTTCACACATAAAACATTCTTGAATTTACACAGTATATCGCAAGTAAGAATTATAGGTATCATAATATAAACCTCTAATCAGATCATCATTTCTGTTCACATTTGGATTTGAATATGCATGCACTGAGACTCACCAGGGTACGTGCCGTATTGAGATTTCAAACCGCAGAAAGTACAATATCAATAGTTTAAACGTTAAATAGAGCACTCATTTATATTGATGTTTGAGATGCTGTTTGAAGATGATTTTGATTCAGAATAAATGCATGTACTTGTATGAATTAGAGAGACAAGGTAAATAAAGCGAAAAATTACCTTATCTCCTCGGCTGGAGAGACATTTTAGTTAGATACAAATTCACTGACAGCTGCCTCTAAAACGTACGGCTGTACAATTAAGGATTTCTCCATTACTAATTAAAAACGTCAAGAAAACATAGTCTCTTGCCAATTTCTTGACATGAATTGTTCATAAGGAGTATCAAACTATTTAGAAATGAAGAATTTTGTAGCAAGGTTATAAAAAAACCTTACTTAACTAAATTGTCCCTTTAAGAAAATACCTGGTCTGGTGTTGTTATCATTTAAACATTTAGGATAAAAGCAAATGAATATTTTAGCAAATGTTGTTATGGTCCTATAACACACATTGCTATTGATGACAAACTTAAGGGCTTTAAGTTTGTCATCAACAGCAATGTGTGTTATAGGACCATAACAACATTTGCTAAAATATTCATCATTTACATTTTGATGTAGTTTTGCTTTATTTAGTTATTTCGATCAGTTTTTGAACAGCAAATCAAGTGTTTACAATGAAATTGATGATGTTACAATAGCTAATGTTGTTATAGTCTCATAACAATATTTGCGTTCGTAATGCATTATAATAGAAAGATGAAGAGCAAATGTAGATATAAGGACTGTATTTCTGGATATGAGTCACCATGAACAGGATTATACTATAGATAGTAAGTATATATATATTTATAAATACAAAGAAAGCTATACAGCATTGTCTGTCGACTCAAGGGGGCTTAGGGAAAAGCCTGCTCTTGACAAAGAGAGGTCCATTAATGAACATGTTTTCTTGCTTTTTTAGATAAAGAAAGGAATTACGTGTACAGTCACATTAATTGGAGCTACTGACCGCACAAGATGCCAGGACGGACAGTAAAGGATGTCTACATGGCAACATCCATGACGGACCTCAATAAACTGGTCGACATTTCCAAACAAAAGCTCGGAAATAATCCAAGACTGTAAGCTTGTAGTAATATCAACAAGTAGAAACTTTAAGGAAACTCTAAGGCTGTAATAATATTTGTGCACAAAAGTTTGGCAATAATGAAAAATTATTAAAATATAGCTCCAAACAGAGGTACAAAACAACCTGAAGCTATAAGCCTATAGTACTGTAGAATTATTTATTTTCGTGGGGTTAAAATTTCGTGGTTTTCATATACTAGCCTGTTACAAGGACATTATATTTCACTGATTTCTGATTTTCCCCTTTCTATATCATACGAAATTTATGTATTCGTGGGGATTTAATTTCGTGGATTTTTGTTATCCACGAAATAAACGAAATTTAATGTCCCACAAAAATTTATGATTTTACAGTATAATATAACACAGTTGGGGCAACAATCAATTGTTCTCCTTATTTCATTATTATGTTCTTATAATATAAGATTTTTTTACCAAGATTTTTTTTATTAAAGTCCATTGTGTTAAACATTTATATGAAAAATCAGTTTGAAAGGAAAGTAAATTTTAAACATATTTTTTTTAAATAAGGGTTTAAAGTGGCTCAAATTTTTCATAGATAATATGTTATGTAAAAAAAGGTAGAAAATCATCTTTATTAATGTATAAACATCACATCAATGATTTTCTGAAGCGTTTTTCACTAAAATGTCTGACAGGCTGATAAAGACGTCGGATACGATGCTGAAGGGTGCCGAGGAGTGTGACCTGATGGGTGACGAGGAGAAGGCCTACGTACTGTTTATGAGGTTCTTCAACATCATCACTGCCGTGAAGAAAATGCCAGAGTACCGCAAACAGAAGGTCAGTAATGTTGTGACTATACTGTATACTGGGAAATGTTTGTCACAGCTTAACCCTGTTCATCGCAGCTTAACCCTTTCACTACTGTAGACCATAATGGACTCATCCATATCAATGCATGGTAGAGTCTACTCAAGTTACATAAGGGTGAAAGGGTTAACTTATCCAGAGTACCGCAAACAGAAGGTCAGTAATGTTGTGACTATACTGTATACCGGGAAATGTTCGTCACAGCTTAACTTATCACATTTATCACCCTCCCAGATGAGGGCAAATTTGTCACGATAGCAAATTTTAATACACGACATGAAATATATAGTAATTACATGTGAAGGGCAAAATTAACACTGGACGAACATGGATTTTATTGGAAAAGGGCGAAGGGCGAATATTTTTCCTAGTATACAGTATATAGTTAAAGGGTTTTAAAAAAAATGCCATCGTGACAAATTCTAATACACGACATGAAATATATAGTAATTACATGTGAAGGGCGAAATTAACACTGGACGAACATGGATTTTATTGGAAAAGGGCGAATATTTTTCCTAGTATACAGTATATAGTTACCGGTAATTAGTTTTCAAATAAAGACACAAGGTTACCAAAAAAGCATTACTTCAGTATTATCTATAAAATTATTGATATTTTATTTTGAGCACACGGCTTCTCCCCCATAAAAAAAATAAAAAGGTTGGCAAGTATGCATTTATCATTTATAACCATATATCATTTGTTTCCAAAAAAAATTAAGTGCAATTAACGCCTTTATTAAATACAGATACAATTAAAAGTAGAACAAATATTAGAAATAATAACGTTAATGGTAAAAGACTACACATCCCTGGTACATGTAAAGGGGACTTATTTATTTCAACAAATTGTATTGGACAAAGCATAAATAAGTGACGTGTCTATTTATTGCTATACTTTTTACTGTAAGAAACAGCTAGATGAAAATTTTTTGCAAATCACATTGAAGGTTTTATTTGATAAAATCTAAAATTTCCCTTAACGTGGGAATACTGATGAAATTTCCCAATTTTTACACAAATCAAAGCTTAGAATGTACTTCTGAGTAATGTAAAAATTGTTCAAAAGTCTTTTTTTTTTCTTTTTTTTTCAGGATTTTTATGATAAACTGATAGGCCAGAAGAACGTCCTGAAGTGTATGGACAAAGCTGAGGACCTTTCTAAAAGTCTTAAAAACAGGTACATTTACTGTCACACATCTCAGTGTGTTTGATTGTTTGAAGAAACTGGAACCTGTCACACAGATTGTGTTGGGATCCGCTAATCATCACCATTTTCCAAACATCATTGATGGATTATTGATAAATTATGAACTTATTGAAAAATATATACGGAAGCATTCATCAGAGTGGATAAAATTCCGGAAAATTTAGGGAATATCTTTAACCCTTTCACCACTGTGGACCAAAATGGACTCATCCAGATCAATGCATGGTAGAGTCTACTAAAGTTAACTAGGGGTGAAAAAGTTAAATACCTAGCTCAGAGGTTACTGAAAGTACATTTTGGGTCTGTTTAAAGGTCAAACCCGCTGAATTTTTACACTAAGAACACTGTTGTTGTTTATATCTTGTATATTTGATCTTCGCCATTTTTTCGTAAACGTCCCGCAAGAAATGATTTATCACAGCTGTAGTCATGCTACAAAAACAACAGATTCCAACATTTAGTTACAGTTTTTAAGATTGGTACACTAATCCTTAAGATATTGAGTCTCATCACAGTTGATTTTATGTACATCAACTAGAATGTAAATACCAGATACCTTAGTTGTCTCAAAGAGTTTCTCTAAAATGACATAACCTTTGAACTTGTCAGTGAATTATAACACTTAAACTTTGACCTTGTATTATAGATATGACTATTGTGAGGCGCAGGAAATTGCCAAAAAACTTTCTACACTAGATTCTTCTTCTCCTGAGGAAAAGAAAGTCGATAAAACTTCAGAGATTGAAGCTGACAAAAATTCTGACGGCGGAGAGAAGACAAAAACTCAGTCAAAAGAATCAACTCCAGGTAACCATTGTATTGATTGATTGTGTAGGATTAAATGTCCTATCAACAGCTAAGGTCATTTAAGGATGTAACCACATTGTATACAGAAATATGCAGTTAACTGTTTCATGTAAAACGACCCCAGAGATCAATCACAAAACCTTGAAAAGACATTAGCATGAAAAGTCAGGGTTCAGCATTATAAACAATTTGAGCTGGATTACAATAAGTTTGAAAAAAAGGATGAGTGTCATGAAATAAGGTTCAAAATGAACAGGGAGTGATATATAGTGTAAGCTATAAAGAACAGTGTATAATAACAAAAATGGGGTTTTTCAAATTTATTTAGCCCTTTCACCACTGTACACCATAATGGACTCATCCATGTCAATGCATGGTAGAGTCTACTAAAGTTACATATGGATGAAAGGGTTAAAAGGTTTATGAAGAAAAGACACAAGGCATATTGAGATTAAAATACTATTAAATTTATAACACTGAAAAAATACATTTGGGCTAATAACAGCTGTGGTGTTTGGTAATAAATGTACCTTCAGTTTGATTTGGCTATCTGGTAAGAAAATATATGTCAAGAATCAGTTGTTGCTGGCCGAGCCAAGTAGCTTGAATGGAGAAATGATATCTATTATGGCCTTTTGGCTGTTCTGTAAATGAGGACGGGAGAAACAAAATACTGGAGACATACAACTTTTGATGACAGGTGGTTTTATTAGGTAGAGTGTGGTAATGTTAAAGTTATAATTTCTCGCTTGTGGAATTGTTCCAGTTGTGACTCTTCAAAGTCGCAGTGTGCATTTGAAATCATTCTAAAATCTACATATCTATAACCTATATATAGTCTATCAATAAATATTTGATGGGGATATATTTGTATATGGATATTTTGACGCTAATTTTCTTGACATGATTAACATAAGCAATTACACTTTTACAGTTAAAACTTTGCTACACGACGATTGTGTCTTGTTAGCTTATTAATGAAATAATATCAGAGACTGATATAAAATCCCATAGAACTTCTTTATACACATTGTTTCATTTATGTAGTAAATTAACAACATAATGGTCCATCATCCATTTATCTCAGATCCTGTATCAGCGCCACCACCTCAGCCAGAAGGGCAGATAACTCCGGTCCAGTTGTTTTCCTTGTTGAAAGAAAGTGATGAACAGATGGCCATAATGGATGTCCGTCCAGCTGCAGAGTTTGAGGAATCGCACATACAGCACCGAACCTGTATCAATGTACCGGCTGAGATTGTATCACCAGGGTAAGAATGGGAAAGAAAACAGCCCCCTACCCTCTCCTTTAACCCAATCATCCCTTAAGTCACATTTGAACCTTACCAAATCAAGGACTGGGCAAGTCTATTTCAAACATGTAGGGGTGACTGAGTAATCTAAACCTAAAAATTAATGAACTATCAGTTAAAATGTTAGTTGTGATGTGCGATGTCTGTAATGAATTGAACTTTTTGTAGGAAAAATAAACATATCAGTGTTTATATCATTCAATTTTTTTTGGAATATTTTAGGATTTTAATATTTTTATAAAATTTTCAAACATTTCTTCAAGCAGAAGAAACTATCATTAATTAAATGTAAATCTATGTTGTGTATAGTTTGTGTCACAATGTGCTACAGAACAACAGTGACAGTGATTGAGAAGACCCTACCTGAAGACTCCCGGTCACTATGGCAACAGCGAGGTCACTTGGACCACATTGTGTTGGTTGACTGGTCCTCCACTCTCGACAAGGTTACCATAGGAACGACCTTGAGGACGCTGAAAGACGCTCTTTTTAAGGTAGGGTGGGAGGTCAAGGATTAGAGCAACTGATTATGTGTTCAAGCAGATCAGAGGTCAAAGGTTACTATATGTATGACACTGTATCGGAGCTCAAGGTCAAGGGTTATGATATGTATATGATGTATCAGGTCAAAGGTTATAATATATTTGACTCCCAATAAACCAAAATGACCACACAGTGGATAGTTGTGGTCATCCAGTGGTCAGGAGTGGCCACAATGAACTGTAGTGACCACCCAGTGGAGAAAGGTTTGAGTGTAGGTGTTATTTCTCGTTTACAGTACGACTCGACCGTGATAATCCGGAGCGAGCCAGTTGTGTTGGAGGGCGGATACGATCAGTGGTTATATCACTACCCTCAACTGACCACGAACCCGCATATCAAACACTCGTCAGTGTCCACAATAACCTCCGCACCCTCATGTAAGTCACTCTTAACATAGGTTCAGCACCCACACGTAAGTCACTCTGAACATGGGTCGTCCTTAACTGACCTTAGCTGTTGATAGGATGTTAACTCATTCACCCCTGTAATTCCATAATGAAATGTTTCAACCTTTGAATGGTAGAGTTCAAATGTGTCCTCAAGGGCCTTGTAACAAAACTTCAATTTCCCCCAAATCTGAAAAAGAGTAGATTCCCCTAAAACCTAGATTGACCCCAGCCTGGGTTTTCTCTGAGTTCTCTGTTTCTATGCACTTCCATCTCGGCCAACAATAGCAAGCAGTATAATTGACAGAACTTGTTTCATAATTGTTGTAAAATATATATAAAAAAATTAAACACTGTGAACTCCAATGTTGTTTTTTCTTCATGGCTAATGTTAACAGAATGTAAATCTTTCATGGTATATGAAGGTATTCAAAAAGTATTTCTTGTGTACGTAAAATGAAACCTGTTAAAGCCAGACCCTAACAAAACCTCAACATAGCTGATAATTGTTTTCATAGACGATAAGTTATTTTGATAACTGGGGTTCATTTTATATAGAAATGCAGACTGTTTGACCTAGATAAAGGTCTGGTTCGTCATTTTTTCAAGATTTTGATTCGGGCAGGTTCATATACTGTAAGGTGATTTCACATCCCTACATTTTGAGTATATGTAGCTCACACAGTTCAAAGGTCAAGTGAGCTTATGGGATGGCTCTGCGCCTGTCTCCCTATATTTGGCTTAAACATTTTACTCAATCTTACTTCAGAATTACAAGAGGCATAGGGTCATGATATTTTGCCAGTACCATGCTTGGGTAAATAGCTATCATGTTTACTCATATGAACAATCTATCTTGTCCCACTTTCAAGGTCAAGGTCACTGTCATTGAATGTGTTAAAACCTTTCAACAACTTCAGAATATCTAAGAGCCTAGAGTTGTGATATTTGGCCTGGAACATGCTAGGGTAGAGGCATATCAACTTTGTTCAAATAAATTACCTTGACCCACTTTTAAGTTGGGAGTTATCAAATCTGTTAAAACTTTTAAACAACTTACAAATGACCAAGGAGCTAAGGTCGTGCTATTTAGTATGCTTCATGCTCTAGATATTTAAATGAATTGATTTTGATTTAATTTGAAAGTCACAGCATTGAACACTATGTCAGCAATACGAGTCCTCTGTTGAGAAGAAAATCCTAATAACTAGAAATTAAACTTTAATCAGATTGTTTATGTTCCAGTGGATTTTGACTACCCTGATGATATCAATGTGGAGGACATACTAAATCCCAAAAAAACACCTGCACCAGAAAAATCAACAGACCTATCAGATTCTTTGTTACAATTTGCTCAAGGAATGACAGACCAATCAGGACCCATGAATCGGTTGACTCAAGTTAATGGTGACATTGGCGGAGTTATGCCCAGAATTGACCGGTCCACCAAGCCAAGGATTGGAACCAATCAGAATACAACACAGGACAGACCAATAACATTCGTTACGGGCTCCGATTTGTACCCGTCTGTGTCTAGGTCGTTAAATGGGTCAGAAAGGTCAAATACTATACCAGAATCGAAAGGACTAAGTACAGATGATGCAGTTAGTCTAGAGACTAAATCAAACTCAGCTTTGTCCAAATATTCTGAGGAACTAGAAAAAGAAAAATCTGAGTTGGAAAGAATTCGTCAGCAGAAAGCTGAAGAATTGGCAAGTTTTCAGAAAGAGAAAGAGAGAATTGCTAAAGAAAGAGAAAGCAGGATTGAAAGAATGAAATCTGAAGAAGATCAGCTTTCAAAAATGGAGCAAATGAAAGCAGTCCAGGCAAAAGATCTGGCAGATCTGCTGAGGAAGAAAAAGAAACTAGAAGAGGATATCAAAAGGGAGACAACTGCAGGAATCCAGGATGAGAAGAGGAAGTACCAAGAAGAGGAGGCAAGGTAAAAAATGTTTGTCTTCTTATAGAGGACTGTTTGTTTAGTATGGATATAAGTTACGTAATACAGGATACCTGTGTCAGAGTGACCTCCCTTGTACATGTGTTGCTATTCATATTAAGAGTGTAAACAGCTCATAATCCAATGATAACAGTCTTAATCAACACTTTATTTTAACTCAAACCATTATATTGATTTTTGATCGATCAGCGAATGCTGTAACAAACCAACAAAATGTGACATGTTCTGTATTTTTATTTTGTCACAATCGGACACTTTGATAATAAATAGTAGGTTCCCCATGATTTCTCAGAAAGTGCTCGAGCAATGAAGGTTCCCAATGGTTCATAGTTATGCATAACAAATATTTGGACACATTTGGGAAGTTCGAATGGATCAAGTTTGTTATCACTGTTTCTCAAAAAGTATGAGATCTTTCTTGAATTTCAAATTTAGGTTCCATTTGTTATACATCAAGCACTATGCTGGTTAATGGGTCAACTGAAAACATCACTTTGATAGAACAATGTCATACATAAATATGTATAGTCTAGGATGCTGGTATATCACTTACTGTTCCTGTTTTAAGGACATTGTCATACAGAAATATGTATAGTCTAGGATGATGGTATATCACTAACTGTACCTGGTGTAAGGACAATGTCATACAGAAATATGTATAGTCCAGGATGCTGGTAAATCACTTACTGTTCCTGGTGTAAGAACAATGTCATACAGACATATGTATAGTCTAGGATGCTGGTATATCGCTTACTGTTCCTGGTGTAAGAACAATGTCATACAGAAATATGTATAGTCCAGGATGCTGGTATATCACTTACTGTACCTGGTGTCAGAACAATGTCATACAGAAATATGTATAGTCCAGGATGCTGGTATATCACTTACTGTACCTGTTTTAAGGACATTGTCATACAGAAATATGTATAGTCCAGGATGCTGGTATATCACTAACTGTACCTGGTGTAAGGACAATGTCATACAGAAATATGTATAGTCTAGGATGCTGGTATATCACTAACTGTACCTGGTGTAAGAACAATGTCATACAGAAATATGTACAGTCTAGGATGCTGGTATATCACTTACTGTACCTGGTGTAAGGACATTGTCATACAGAAATATGTATAGTCTAGGATGCTGGTATATCACTTACTGTACCTGGTGTAAGAACAATGTCATACAGAAATATGAAGTTTTGATCAAAAGTTGCCACAAGGTACTTTTACTGATCCCAACAGATAAGAGAAAAGAACAGTTTTACATAAAACTAATGAAGATGGTACAATGGTGGGGCACCAAATCCTTCTTGTATCTCTTGTTTACCATGTAATATGAAGCTACTATGCTCTAACAAGACAACAATACATCAAACAGTACATGTACAACATGTGTTTATTACTTTTAATTGGTTAATTACTGAACCCTACATTACACACATGATGGGGCCATAAAGGTGGTCATAGTGCAGGCCCTTGAGGCCTTTTGAATTTTCAGAGTCTATGCACTGAAGAGTCTTCAGATGTAAATTTCACGTTGTTCAGATTAAATTCTGATATGCTCCAGAAACATCTCCCTTTTAGATCCAACCAACCACAAATCACCGTTCATACAGAGGCCATACTGACGAGTGGTTAAGTCGTCAGGTTCTAGGCCTACTTTGGGAAGTCGCCAGATACTGGCGCAGGTCATTGGTTTTTCTCCAGGTGCTCTGGTTTTCCTCCACCAAAAAAAACTAGCTCGGCCTTAAATGACCATAACTGTTAATAGGGCATAAAACACCAACAAACCAAACCTTACCATTCATAAATTATACTTAACAAATTAATTTGTATGAAGCTCTTATTGAAAGATTATGTACACAATAGTATCACATGTTGTTAAATGGCTGACTGTTTTGGTAGGATTCTATATTGCATACTTTCTTCCCCATCTATACAGGAAGGTGGAGTTGATCCGTGTGCGACAGGAGGAAGAAGAAAAAAAACGTCGCATGGAGGAAGTGATGAGGCTACGGGAGGAGAGAAAGAGGAAGGAAACAGACGGACAGGTATTTTAACTCGTTTTGTATAAAAAACAATCCAGCAACATAAATAGTAATTGAAAACATATTTTTCGTCTTGGTTAATATATCCTTTTTCAGGTTCATATAACCACATATTTACCTCAACAAAAGTCCATTATTGATGAATATCATGATCATAATTAAATACTTTTATTGAGTGCAGAACTATTTTTAGAAAAAACTAAAAACTAAAAATCAACAAAGCCAAAAGAAGGTAAAAATCCCTCTGCAATATGGAAAAACATATATCTGTTAAATTCTTTTTGTACATATGGAAGAAAAAATTCTCATCATGTAAATGGAATTTTAAATAATTGTTAACATTTTAACTTAAATGTGATTTACTGTTATAATAGGATGCAGTGAACAGTGCTCAAAACCAGGCAAAGCAGATCGAAGAGGAGAACAAACAAAAACTGAGAGAGGCGTCGGAGAGGGCAGAGAAACTCCGACAGGAAAAGGAAAGGAAGAAATTAGCTGATTCAAAAGATAAAGAAGAAAGGGAGAAAGCAGCAGAAGCGGCCAGACAACGGGACCAGGAACGACGTGAGCGTGAGGCTCAGGCACAGATAGATGTGAGTTATTTCCCTTTGAAGAACTCCTTGTTATATGGTATTTGTTGCTCTGTTTGAGGGAAAATCATAATTTGTCTCAGGCCACTGTTACTAAAAATAGTGAGGTAGATTGGATGGAAGGGGGTACGATCCTACTGTTGGAATCCAAAAGTCTAATCTGATTTAAAATTGACTTGGTGATACACTGTGATATGTTTTTAAAGTCAATTTCAAGTTTATTGTTACTAAAGACTTTTACTAACTAATTTTATTGAAACATCACTTTAATTTCAGATTTCTACATATTTTAAGGGAATTACGGACCTTTATGTGAAATAAATTTTCCAGAAAACTCTATCTTAATTAACAGACAGATTTTATTGAAACTTCACTTGAATGATCAATACATTCTGTAGCTGTGCACTAGCATTTCAATTTCAGATTTCAACACTTTTTAAGGAAGTTATGGCTCTTTATTTGTAATAACTTGTCCGGAAACACCAAGGTCAAGGTCACTAAATGATGTATAAACTTTTTAGCAACCAACATCGGACGGGGATATTAAGTTATCCTCCTGATAACAGTTCTAGTTGTTTCAAAAGCCACGTTTTACTCTTTTTGTCTGTAAAATAAGTTAAACAGGTTGGGAGACACTCAGGAATTCACCACTATTTTATTTCTATTCTTTTTTTAATATATAAAAAAATTGAACTCTATTATTTATCAGGAAATCAAAGATTAATTTTTCGTCATATTTAAAACTCTTGTGTATACTTTTATAATTCTTAAGGCTCAAAGGAGGCAACAAGAGGAACTGAAAAGACAGAAAGAAGACAGGGACAAACAAGAAATATACAGACAAGACAAAGAAAGGGAAGAGAGGGAGAGAAAGCTTCAAGATGAAAAGTCACGAGCAGACTTGGCCCTTCGACTCGCTCAGGATAAAATGAAGCAACTAAATGGTAATAACTGGGCAGAGATTTTATTCTCATTAATCTGCCCTTAACATGACTTTTTTATGACTTAAACAAACCTGAAAAAAATTACTACAAGTCACAACCAAATTGTTGTTTATATCTATATGTAGCGGAACTAGACTGGGTTGATTGCTGGCGACCAGGCAGCTTCATTGGTAAGAGCATTCGTCTGGAGTTCAGAGGGTCCCAGGTTTGAACCCGGTCTGGCCGTGTATTTCTCTTTCACCGTTTACATATATATAAAATGTCCTTGAAATTTCTGGAATTATGCTCACTTATATATAAAATAATGAAAATTTTAAATTAATCGACGACAGAAAATGATTTTTATGTTTTGTGTCCTAGATAAACCTCAGGTGAGAACGATTCCCTCGCCAAACCTGCCAGAGGGTTGGGAGAAGAAGCGAGATAACAAGACTGGTCGCTACTTTTACGTGGATCACAAGAACAGTCTCACTCAGTGGGAACCTCCTTTTGTTTATCAACCAGGTACACAACTAGATGTAATTTAGATTTTGGCCTCAAAATTTTTAAAAATAAATTAAGATAAACTTTTTGAAAAAAGCAACATTTTCATATCACATAAAAAAAAAATGTGAAAATTGAGCATGGAATGAAATAATTCTAAAATATGAATTGGTCGTTATGTTGAAACATTAACACAACTAAAAGAAATGATCCTCAAAAAATAAAGACATATGGTCATGAAACCTGGACCAGCTTATATTTTGTAATAGCATTAGTGTTATTTACGGGAACAGCTCCTTTTCCCTATGATTATGAGAAGTCCCCTTTTCTAAGCCTCCTTTTCCTGTCGTTTTCATTGATTACCATCCATACACTTACCAATTCTATTCTGGACCCTAAAATATATCAACTTCAACCAAAGAGAATTTAGTTTAAACTTTCTTTTATTCAAGTATTTCAATTATATACATATATATGCAATATATATATAGAAAGAGAATTCGTAAACTATTCCTTTTTTCCAAGATGAGTTCATCAGAGAAACAGCTTGATATATGCCACATTGAAGTGTATTTTTTCCATAGAATGTATATGTACACATTTTATATATGTTATAATTTTTAGCACACGTAATCTCGCCCATGGACATTAAAATAGTTGCCAAGTATGATCATCAATTCAATTAAATGGTTATTAATCTCCAAAAGCAATCACAATGTCTATGAAAGTTTCTGGTGTAAATTTGGTTTGAATTATCAAAAAATAACTTAATAAACATGAAGTATTCAAGGTATAGAAAAGGAATAAATGGCTAATCTTTTTATCACAGATTTAAGAAAAGACTCTGGCATACAAGACCCACTGAGAAGTAAGTATATAAACAATTAAGTGTTGATTTTACCTCTTCTATCAGAGCATCAACTTAAGTATGTCCGCACTGATGCAAAAAAATCACTTCGATAGAATTAAAAAGTAATGAAATGTTCCTTCTTTCTGTGATAGATAGTACATGTAGCAATGTTAATGTGTTTTTTTTAAGAAATTTCGTTTTCAGTTATTTCCAACAAATAGTCTCCATTTCATAATAGGAATTAAAATGTATTTCTAGTTTACAATTTTTCTTTTTTATTTAGTCACGAACGGAAAGTTTAAACCAATGAAATAACATTTAACAAGCGATATGAAATGAATGTTAAATTTGATTACTTCAAATGCTTTATTTCACTTCAAAAATGAAAACTAAATTTAGAACAATTGATGAACACACTGTAAGCTGCTAAATTATTTACATCAGGAATATCACTTTCCACAATAAATAGAATCCTGATGCAGTAGTTTCCCTCGATACTTATAAGTATTACTAACTGGTATGGAAACATTATTTCCCCAGCTCCACAAAGGGGCATGTATAAAACTAAGCTGAAGGACGAGTCTGAACAGGGAAGATCTGGGGGGCTCAAACGGTCCTTCTCCTCACCTGATATCACCAAACTGATGGAGGAGGAGACTCTGCGTAAACCTGACCTGCCCTCTGTTGACAGGTCCAAAAAACCTACTCCAAGGTAAGGGCAGATAACAACATGGTCATTGATTTGGAGCTCAACAAGACTGATTCCCATTGACGCCATGCCGTGATGAATACTGTAATAACCATGGTCTGCTACACTAGGTCAACACCACAGCACTTAATACTTATAACAAAACATTATGTAGGTTAGTTAACCTTTGTGCTAGTGACATGTTATTGGTTTGTACAAGACCGCTCTGTCATTGAGTGACATTATATGGGTTTGTACAAGTCCGTTCTATCATTGAGTGACATGTTATGGGTTTGTACACGTCTGTTCTGTCATTGAGTGACATGTTATGGGTTTGTACAAGTCCGTTCTGTCATTGAGTGACATGTTATGGGTTTGTACAAGTCTGTGCTGTCATTGAGTGACATGTTATGGGTGTGTACAAGTCCGTTCTGTCATTGAGTGACATGTTATGGGTTTGTACAAGTCCGTTCTGTCATTGAGTGACATGTTATGGGTTTGTACACGTCAATTCTGTCATTGAGTGACATGTTATTGGTTTGTACAGGTCCGTTCTGTCATTGAGTGACATGTTATGGGTTTGTACAAGTCCGTTCTGTCTTTGAGTGACATGTTATGGGTTTGTACAGGTCCGTTCTGACATTGAGTGACATGTAATGGGTTTGTACAGGTACGTTCTGTCATTGAGTGACATGTCATGGGTTTGTACAAGTCCGTTCTGTCATTGAGTGACATGTTATGGGTGTGTACAAGTCCGTTCTGTCATTGAGTGACATGTTATAGGTTTGTTCAAGTCTATTCTGTCATTGAGTGACATGTTATGGGTTTGTACAGGTCCGTTCTGTCATTGAGTGACATGTTATGGGTGTGTACAAGTCCGTTCTGTCATTGAGTGACATGTTATGGGTGTGTACAAGTCCGTTTTGTCATTGAGTGACATGTTATAGGTTTGTACAAGTCTGTTCTGTCATTGAGTGACATGTTATTGGTTGTACAAGTCCGTTCTATCATTGAGTGACATGTTATGGGTGTGTACAAGTCTATTCTGTCATTGAGTGACATGTTAGGGGTTTGTACAAGTCCGCTCTGTCATTGAGTGACATGTTATGGGTTTGTACAAGTCAGTTCTGTCATTGAGTGACATGTTATGGGGTTGTACAAGTCTGTTCTATCATTGAGTGACATGTTATTGGTTTGTACAAGTTTGTTCTGTCATTGAGTGACCTGTTATGGGTTTTTACAAGTCCGTTCTGTCATTGAGTGACATGTTATTGGTTTGTACAAGTCTGTTCTGTCATTGAGTGACATGTTATGGGTTTGTACAAGTCTGTTCTGTCTTTGAGTGACATGTTATGGGTTTGTACAGGTCAGTTCTGTCACTGAGTGACATGTTATGGGTTTGTACAGGTCAGTTCTGTCATTGAGTGATGATGAATGAAATGATAATTGAATATATCTTAGGCATCTCTTCTCATTACCATATTTATCTGACAATAAGCCCATGCTTGGTTTAAAGCCTCCCAAAGTATATTTGGGTTAGGAAAAAATGCCAACATAAGCTTTTTAATTATCCTGTAATAAGCCTGTTCCCCGACTTTCAGTCAGAGATTATGTGTTGGCCCCCGGGGCTTATTACAGGACAAATACGGTATTACTGTAAGTTATATTGCTAAATTATTGCCATATTGTTGACTAACTAACATCCGTACAAATACTTTGCATACAGCATGTGCATATGTATTCCTAGTTCTCATCACATTCAGAAATGATGTTTTAGCAGACACTTTACGATCCAGGACTCTCTACAAGCCAGCCAAATAATATGGTCCCAGTTGTATCCGTTTAGACAGAGTCCACCATACTTTTTTTGAATTGAATTAAGACAGATTAATTATAAGAATAGTTATGTTGGTAATAAAACATGGATACAAATTTTCCCTTGTTTTGATACTCAGGTAAATTGCGATTTAAAAGAAATTTCATAAAAAATGAACTTATATATTAACTTTTGAATTTGTTACAGGGTTGAGCCCCGCCCACAGCCTGCCAGTACACGCCCACGAAACCTGAACCCTACATACGGCAACGTGGTATGTATATCCTGGATACGAAAGATACAGTCAAACTTGTTTCACAGATTTGTTTATTGTTTTATAAAAGAACGATCAAGAAATAACTAATTCAGCAAATAAAATGTAAATAATATATATTGTCTTTAGTATCCCCATATCACTGTAAAAGCTGTAACTATGAATCTGAAACTGTTTTTTTCTGAACCTGTAAAGCTTTGATAACTTATTTCTAAAATGGGAATATACCTTGCTGGATGTTCATGAAAAACAACGATGAGGTAGTCAGAAACAACAGTGCTCTGAGTGTGTCAATACAGCAGGACTACACCCGTACAACAGTAACTCTGTGTGCATAGCTTACAGTGGTGCAGGGATCTTTAATTATTAACAACTTATATAATCTATGACTGTTCCAGGGCTCAGCACTGACTGGATTAAGAAACCTTGGGAATACCTGTTACATGAACTCCATCATACAATGCTTAGATAACTGTGCTCCTCTGGTCCAGTACTTCCTGACTGACCGTTACCTGTACGACATCAACAGGTATGTAGTATAGACTGACCGTTATCTGTACAGGTATGTAGTATAAACTGACCATTACCTGCACAGGTATGTAGTATAGACTGACCGTTACCTGTACAGTTATGTAGTATAGACTGACCATTACCTGTACTGGTATGTAGTATAGATTGACCGTTACCTGTACAGGTATGTAGATTAGACTAACCGTTACCTGTACAGTTATGTAGTTTAGACTGACCGTTACCGGTACAGGTATGTAGTATAGACTAACTGTAACCTGTACAACATTAACTGGCAAAGAACATTTTATTAACATCTAAAATTCTATTTCAAGAAAATTGTCAGCTGATAATATAAACCTATCAATCAATCTGTTATTCATTTACAAGTATAATTGTTCGATGCTTGTCATAATGTAAGCAAACAATTTTTGTGTAACTGGCTGAAGCTGTTTCCCTAGTAGAGAGTCGTTTGAGATGGGGCGTATCATTGCAGCTCTGTGTTTATAGGGACGGTGGACCTGACAGTTACGGGTACCAGGTTGTAGACGAGTTTGTGGTCATTGTGAAGGCGCTATGGAGTGGCCAGTATAGAAACATCACACCTCGTGACTTCAAGGTATGGTCTACAAGATTAGGGAATAACCCTACTGTATTTTGATATTTGCAGCATTACTGTATACTTGGAAATATTCACCCCTTTTTCCTTTTTTTCGCCATTTATTGCTTCCCGCAACGAGCCCGAATTTATCATGATGATGATTTTAGTAGACAGCATACCATATATAATAACTACACGTGAAGCATGAAATTAGATTTGGTGAATATTTGTTTTACAAGAATTTTGTTTCTGTCACAGTACATTGTTGGGAAGTACCAGTCATTGGTGTGTTATATATATGTGACAAGTTAATTGTGTTTCTGTCACAGTACATTGTTAGGAAGTACCAGTCATTGGTGTGTTATATATATGTGACAAGTTAATTGTGTTTCTGTCACAGTACATTGTTAGGAAGTACCAGTCATTGGTGTGTTATATATATGTGACAAGTTAATTGTGTTTCTGTCACAGTACATTGTTAGGAAGTACCAGTCATTGGTGTGTTATATATATGTGACAAGTTAATTGTGTTTCTGTCACAGTACATTGTTAGGAAGTACCAGTCATTGGTGTGTTATATATATGTGACAAGTTAATTGTGTTTCTGTCACAGTACATTGTTAGGAAGTACCAGTCATTGGTGTGTTATATATATGTGACAAGTTAATTGTGTTTCTGTCACAGTACATTGTTAGGAAGTACCAGTCATTGGTGTGTTATATATATGTGACAAGTTAATTGTGTTTCTGTCACAGTACATTGTTAGGAAGTACCAGTCATTGGTGTGTTATATATATGTGACAAGTTAATTGTGTTTCTGTCACAGTACATTGTTAGGAAGTACCAGTCATTGGTGTGTTATATATATGTGACAAGTTAATTGTGTTTCTGTCACAGTACATTGTTAGGAAGTACCAGTCATTGGTGTGTTATATATATGTGACAAGTTAATTGTGTTTCTGTCACAGTACATTGTTAGGAAGTACCAGTCATTGGTGTGTTATATATATGTGACAAGTTAATTGTGTTTCTGTCACAGTACATTGTTAGGAAGTACCAGTCATTGGTGTGTTATATATATGTGACAAGTTAATTGTGTTTCTGTCACAGTACATTGTTAGGAAGTACCAGTCATTGGTGTGTTATATATATGTGACAAGTTAATTGTGTTTCTGTCACAGTACATTGTTAGGAAGTACCAGTCATTGGTGTGTTATATATATGTGACAAGTTAATTGTGTTTCTGTCACAGTACATTGTTAGGAAGTACCAGTCATTGGTGTGTTATATATATGTGACAAGTTAATTGTGTTTCTGTCACAGTACATTGTTAGGAAGTACCAGTCATTGGTGTGTTATATATATGTGACAAGTTAATTGTGTTTCTGTCACAGTACATTGTTAGGAAGTACCAGTCATTGGTGTGTTATATATATGTGACAAGTTAATTGTGTTTCTGTCACAGTACATTGTTAGGAAGTACCAGTCATTGGTGTGTTATATATATGTGACAAGTTAATTGTGTTTCTGTCACAGTACATTGTTAGGAAGTACCAGTCATTGGTGTGTTATATATATGTGACAAGTTAATTGTGTTTCTGTCACAGTACATTGTTAGGAAGTACCAGTCATTGGTGTGTTATATATATGTGACAAGTTAATTGTGTTTCTGTCACAGTACATTGTTAGGAAGTACCAGTCATTGGTGTGTTATATATATGTGACAAGTTAATTGTGTTTCTGTCACAGTACATTGTTAGGAAGTACCAGTCATTGGTGTGTTATATATATGTGACAAGTTAATTGTGTTTCTGTCACAGTACATTGTTAGGAAGTACCAGTCATTGGTGTGTTATATATATGTGACAAGTTAATTGTGTTTCTGTCACAGTACATTGTTAGGAAGTACCAGTCATTGGTGTGTTATATATATGTGACAAGTTAATTGTGTTTCTGTCACAGTACATTGTTAGGAAGTACCAGTCATTGGTGTGTTATATATATGTGACAAGTTAATTGTGTTTCTGTCACAGTACATTGTTAGGAAGTACCAGTCATTGGTGTGTTATATATATGTGACAAGTTAATTGTGTTTCTGTCACAGTACATTGTTAGGAAGTACCAGTCATTGGTGTGATATATATATGTGACAAGTTAATTGTGTTTCTGTCACAGTACATTGTTAGGAAGTACCAGTCATTGGTGTGTTATATATATGTGACAAGTTAATTGTGTTTCTGTCACAGTACATTGTTAGGAAGTACCAGTCATTGGTGTTATATATATATGTGACAAGTTAATTGTGTTTCTGTCACAGTACATTGTTAGGAAGTACCAGTCATTGGTGTGTTATATATATGTGACAAGTTAATTGTGTTTCTGTCACAGTACATTGTTAGGAAGTACCAGTCATTGGTGTGTTATATATATGTGACAAGTTAATTGTGTTTCTGTCACAGTACATTGTTAGGAAGTACCAGTCATTGGTGTGTTATATATATGTGACAAGTTAATTGTGTTTCTGTCACAGTACATTGTTAGGAAGTACCAGTCATTGGTGTTATATATATATGTGACAAGTTAATTGTGTTTCTGTCACAGTACATTGTTAGGAAGTACCAGTCATTGGTGTGTTATATATATGTGACAAGTTAATTGTGTTTCTGTCACAGTACATTGTTAGGAAGTACCAGTCATTGGTGTGTTATATATATGTGACAAGTTAATTGTGTTTCTGTCACAGTACATTGTTAGGAAGTACCAGTCATTGGTGTGATATATATATGTGACAAGTTAATTGTGTTTCTGTCACAGTACATTGTTAGGAAGTACCAGTCATTGGTGTGTTATATATATGTGACAAGTTAATTGTGTTTCTGTCACAGTACATTGTTAGGAAGTACCAGTCATTGGTGTTATATATATATGTGACAAGTTAATTGTGTTTCTGTCACAGTACATTGTTAGGAAGTACCAGTCATTGGTGTGTTATATATATGTGACAAGTTAATTGTGTTTCTGTCACAGTACATTGTTAGGAAGTACCAGTCATTGGTGTGTTATATATATGTGACAAGTTAATTGTGTTTCTGTCACAGTACATTGTTAGGAAGTACCAGTCATTGGTGTGTTATATATATGTGACAAGTTAATTGTGTTTCTGTCACAGTACATTGTTAGGAAGTACCAGTCATTGGTGTTATATATATATGTGACAAGTTAATTGTGTTTCTGTCACAGTACATTGTTAGGAAGTACCAGTCATTGGTGTGTTATATATATGTGACAAGTTAATTGTGTTTCTGTCACAGTACATTGTTAGGAAGTACCAGTCATTGGTGTGTTATATATATGTGACAAGTTAATTGTGTTTCTGTCACAGTACATTGTTAGGAAGTACCAGTCATTGGTGTTATATATATATGTGACAAGTTAATTGTGTTTCTGTCACAGTACATTGTTAGGAAGTACCAGTCATTGGTGTGTTATATATATGTGACAAGTTAATTGTGTTTCTGTCACAGTACATTGTTAGGAAGTACCAGTCATTGGTGTGTTATATATATGTGACAAGTTAATTGTGTTTCTGTCACAGTACATTGTTAGGAAGTACCAGTCATTGGTGTTATATATATATGTGACAAGTTAATTGTGTTTCTGTCACAGTACATTGTTAGGAAGTACCAGTCATTGGTGTTATATATATATGTGACAAGTTAATTGTGTTTCTGTCACAGTACATTGTTAGGAAGTACCAGTCATTGGTGTGTTATATATATGTGACAAGTTAATTGTGTTTCTGTCACAGTACATTGTTAGGAAGTACCAGTCATTGGTGTGTTATATATATGTGACAAGTTAATTGTGTTTCTGTCACAGTACATTGTTAGGAAGTACCAGTCATTGGTGTTATATATATATGTGACAAGTTAATTGTGTTTCTGTCACAGAACATTGTTAGGAAGTACCAGTCATTGTGTGTTATATATATATGTGACAAGTTAATTGTGTTTCTGTCACAGTACATTGTTAGGAAGTACCAGTCATTGGTGTGTTATATATATGTGACAAGTTAATTGTGTTTCTGTCACAGAACATTGTTAGGAAGTACCAGTCATTGTGTGTTATATATATATGTGACAAGTTAATTGTGTTTCTGTCACAGTACATTGTTAGGAAGTACCAGTCATTGTGTTATATATATATGTGTGACAAGTTAATTGTGTTTCTGTCACAGAACATTGTTAGGAAGTACCAGTCATTGTGTGTTATATATATATGTGACAAGTTAATTGTGTTTCTGTCACAGTACATTGTTAGGAAGTACCAGTCATTGTGTTATATATATATGTGTGACAAGTTAATTGTGTTTCTGTCACAGAACATTGTTAGGAAGTACCAGTCATTGTGTGTTATATATATATGTGACAAGTTAATTGTGTTTCTGTCACAGTACATTGTTAGGAAGTACCAGTCATTGGTGTTATATATATATGTGACAAGTTAATTGTGTTTCTGTCACAGAACATTGTTAGGAAGTACCAGTCATTGTGTGTTATATATATATGTGACAAGTTAATTGTGTTTCTGTCACAGTACATTGTTAGGAAGTACCAGTCATTGTGTGTTATATATATATGTGTGACAAGTTAATTGTGTTTCTGTCACAGTACATTGTTAGGAAGTACCAGTCATTGTGTGTTATATATATATGTGTGACAAGTTAATTGTGTTTCTGTCACAGTACATTGTTAGGAAGTACCAGTCATTGTGTGTTATATATATATGTGTGACAAGTTAATTGTGTTTCTGTCACAGTACATTGTTAGGAAGTACCAGTCATTGTGTGTTATATATATATGTGTGACAAGTTAATTGTGTTTCTGTCACAGTACATTGTTAGGAAGTACCAGTCATTGTGTGTTATATATATATGTGTGACAAGTTAATTGTGTTTCTGTCACAGTACATTGTTAGGAAGTACCAGTCATTGTGTGTTATATATATATGTGTGACAAGTTAATTGTGTTTCTGTCACAGTACATTGTTAGGAAGTACCAGTCATTGTGTGTTATATATATATGTGTGACAAGTTAATTGTGTTTCTGTCACAGTACATTGTTAGGAAGTACCAGTCATTGTGTGTTATATATATGTGTGACAAGTTAATTGTGTTTCTGTCACAGTACATTGTTGGGAAGTACCAGTCATTGGTGTGTTATATATATGTGACAAGTTAATTGTGTTTCTGTCACAGTACATTGTTGGGAAGTACCAGCCGATGTTTGCCGGATGCGACCAACAGGATTCACAGGAATTTCTCACATTTGTCCTGGACGGGCTCAATGAAGGACTCAACAAAGTAAGTTATCCTAGTAAATACAGTCATACGGTAACTATAGTAACCATACTATCATACAGTAACGATAGTTACCATACTGTCATACAGTCACTATATTTACAATACTGTCATACAGTAACTATAGTTACCAAACTGTCATACGGTAACTATAGTTACCATACAATCATACAGTAAATATAGTAATGATACTATCATACAGGAACTATAGTAACCATACTATCATACAGTAATTATAGTAACCATACTGTCATACAATCACTATATTTACCATACTGTCATACAGTAATTAAAGTAATCATACTTTCATACAGTAGCTATGGTAACCATACTGTCATACAGTAACTGTAGTAGCCATACTGTCATACAGACACTATATTTAACAACCTGTCATACAGTAATTAAAGTAATCATCCTTTCATACAGTAGCTAAGGTAACCATACTGTCATCCAGTAACTGTAGTAGCCATACCGTCATACAGTCACTATATTTCCCATACTGTCATACAGTAACTATAGTAATCATACTTTCATACTGTAGCTATAGTAACCATACTGTCATACAGTAACTGTAGTAGCCATACTGTCATACAGTCACTATAGTAATCATACTATCATACAGTGACTAAAGTAATGATACTGTCATACATGTCACTATAGTAACTATACTGTCAAATGGTAACTATAGTAACCATATTGTCATACAGTCACTATAGTAACCATACTATCATACAGTGACTATATTAACCCTACTGTCATACAGTAACTATAGTAACCATACTGTCATACAGTAGCTATAGTAACCATCCTATCTTACTGTAACTATAGTAACCATACTGTCATTCAGGAACTATAGTAACAATACTGTCATACAGTGACTATAGTTACCATACTGTCATACAGTAGCTATAGTAACCATACTATCATACAGTAACTATAGTAACCATACTGTCATTCAGGAACTGTAGTAACTATACTGTCATACAGTTACTATGGTTACCATACTATCATACAGTAATTCGTTGTACTAGTTGTCATTATCTCATTAAATTTTAAACTCTTATGTTTTTAACCCACTCTTGGCTAGGGCCGAGCCGCTTATTAATTCTGTCCAGAGAAAGAAATGACAGACCCACTTCCATTCAGGGTGCATGTGCATAATTCAGTCTTGCATGCTTCCGCTATATAGTTTCGTTATTGTAAATAGAAAGTAACTTAAGTAACTTAAAGAAACTTAATTATAAAATTTATCAACTATGTAGAATAAAGAAATTCTTACCAGTATCGGCAAGAATCACTTTCCACAACTGTTTTATACTACCATATATTGACTTTTGCTCGAACGTTTGGGGACATTGCTCTCAAAAACTGGTACACAAACTTGAAAGAATTCAAAAACGAGCACTGCGGATTATACTAGATGCCGACTATACTGTTCCCGGTGCACAGCTGTTTGTAAAACTAAAATGGCTGCCTTTTACGTACAGAGTTGAATATAACGAATGTGTTCTGATGTTTAAAGTAATAAACAAGCTATGTCCAAATTACCTAGACTGCAATACTCTTGTGAGCAATGTCCATACTATCCAAACCAGGTCAGCTGCGGCAGGTAGATATGTTGTACCCAAACACAAAACGGAAAAATTCAAAAGCTCTTTTAAATATAATGGACCGACACTCTGGAACAATTTGCCAACCACTGTCTCTAAATGCCAATCACTAAACAGTTTTAAGTTCGAGTGCAAAAAACATCTCAATGTAATCTATAAAGACAAGTGTAAAGAAAATTAAAAATCTGCACCCCCTTTCCCTCCTGAAATATCTATCTGCTGTAGTACCTGGAATATGACACACGTGTATCTAAATGAAGTTTTAGAATTTATCTTAATTACTATTCCTAATGCCCTAATCAACACTTTGGTATTAACTCACGCTACATTAGCGTATATTCTGTAATTTTTTACCCTTTGTCACAATGACATGTATGTATATTAGACGCATTATGCGTTTCTTAAATCTTCTAAAATGCAGCATGAGAATTTATGCATTGCATGATATTTAGCCAACTTTTTATTTTCCAATACACGTGTGACATATTTTATTGTAAGCCTGTGTGATATCACATACCAATATATCTGTGATATGTATTACGTAGTTTTGTTATTGGATATACGATGCAGGAGTGTGTTGTTGTTTTTTGTTTTTTGTTTTAAAGATAATACAATGTTTTATTACCTGTGATATGTTACTTAATTTCTTATGTATGTACGTGTATGTCATATCCATGTTGTAAATATTGTACATTTTATGTCGACCACATGTGAGACGAGTCATTGACTCAATGTGTTATCGAATTTAAATAAAGTCTATTATTATTATTATTATTATTATTATAAAGTAGAATCTCTGACACTCACCTGTGGGTTACTTAAAGTCTTCTGATACTCTTCTCCAAATAATAATCCATAATTTAAATAATTGCTGAAAACAAAATGTTTATTTCCGGTGCATTCTAAGAGTGTTGTTGTGGTGGTGAAATTCATGCACTGGGTTTGAGAGGTTTAGCAACTCAGATTGAGGTCTGAGGAGGTTTACGCGTGTGAAACACATATCATTCGATAAACCACATGTGAAGCCTGTCAAGTATTGACACTGTCTGTAGAAGGAAATATATATACTTATTAACCGTATGAGTGATGAAGTATAACCGTTATTTTGATGTTTCAAACGGGAACGTAATATGACAAATTGTGCTTAGGTTGATAACGGTAATGGCTCCGAGACGAGACGATATGTGAACCGTGTATGCTTATAAAACATTTCTGTAACACAGCATGCTATTTCTGGTATATTTATTTATGAAAATGTAACAATTTAAGAACATGACACAACTGCCGCTGCTGTTTGACAAGAATTCGCCCTGTGTCAAAATATTATCCAATCCGGTGTAAGGGAAGTAACTCTTGCGTTGGTATAGTCGCATTGAGAAATATAATTCAAATATTGTTCAATGACAGTAAATAAAGTCACTACATATATTGATAATTATTATTAACATGAATAAAAAATAAATAAAAATAAAAACGAGTGCTATGTCTCGTTTCTCCATGCATGTTTTCCCACTACTGTTAATTATCCTTCATTTCACAAGCACAAAATGCACCTATTCTCTATTATCCATTCACCGATTGCCATTATGCACGTAAATGCTCATGTCACATCATCATCGGAGGATGCTAATTAATGAAAATTACAACAATGCGTCACTTAAAAAGGGTGAAAAAAGAGGAAAGGGAGAAATGTTTTTAAGGCATCATTTAAGAGGTGATTGATTTTGGAAATTCCAAAGTGAACATCCTCACATGACCTGATTTTCAATTAGCAGAATACAGAACACATATCTGAGGTATTATAGTAGATATTGATGCAACGTGTTACTGAAGCAATTAAATTTAAAGTGGTGAGCGGCTTTAATGTCACACTGACATAATTCTAGTTTTTGCATAATCTTGTCACAAAATTTTTCATGATGAGCAGATAATATTGTTAATACTTCTCATGAACAATTTGTGACCAGAAACTTGCTATTGTCAATGATTTCTTGGCATATTTTATCAATAATGAAGAAATCTCTAGTGGTATATAGCTATACATTAACCCCCAGCTCAGCTAAAACATTTGAAGACGTCAATTTCATGCTAGGTCAACTACATGTTGAATTTTTAAACACTAACACTGAGTAAATGCTAGGTCAACTACATGTTGATTTCTAAACACTTGCAGTGAGTAAATGCTAGGTCAACTACATGTTGATTTCTAAACACTTACAGTGAGTAAATGCTAAGTCAACTATGTACATGTTGATTTCTAAACACTTACAGTGAGTAAATGAAAGAAAACATGACCTTTTTCACATCTGGTCTTAATTCAATCTTACATTGACCTCTGCTTACCCCTGACCTCTGTTAAATGTGGGATTGACCTATTCCTCAACTTTGACTTCTGTTACAGGTGAAGGAAAAACCAAAACTACCAGACACGGACAATGACAAGTTACCAGAAATTCAGGCAGCAGCCGTAGCCTGGCGCCGTCATTGTTTGATGTATCAGTCCATCATAGTCGACCTGTTCCAGGTACGTTCAAAACATCCTCTACTCAATGTACAGATAATGGAAAATTAAAGTAGACCTGTTCCAGGTACGTTCAAAACAGCCTCTACTCAATGTACAGATAACGTAAAATTATAGTCGACCTGTTCCAGGTACGTTCAAAATATCCTCTACTCAATGTACAGATAATGTAAAATTAAAGTAAACCTGTTCTAGGTACGTTCAAAACATCCTCTACTCAATGTACAGATAATGTAAAATTAAAGTAAACCTGTTCTAGGTACGTTCAAAACATCCTCTACTCAATGTACAGATAACGGAAAATTATAGTCGACCTGTTCCAGGTACGTTCAAAACGTCCTCTACTCAATGTACAGATAACGTAAAATTTTAGTTGACTAGTTCCAAGTACGTTCAAAACATCCTCTACTCAATGTACAGATAATGTAAAATTAAAGTAAACCTGTTCTAGGTACGTTCAAAACATCCTCTACTCAATGTACAGATAATGGAAAATTAAAGTAGACCTGTTCCAGGTACGTTCAAAACAGCCTCTACTCAATGTACAGATAACGTAAAATTATAGTCGACCTGTTCCAGGTGCGTTCAAAACATCCTCTACTCAATGTACAGATAATGTAAAATTAAAGTAGGCCTGTTCCAGGTACGTTCAAAACATCCTCTACTCAATCTACAGATAACGTAAAATTATAGTCGACCTGTTCCAGGTGCGTTCAAAACATCCTCTACTCAATGTACAGATAATGTAAAATTAAAGTAAACCTGTTCTAGGTACGTTCAAAACATCCTCTACTCAATGTACAGATAACGTAAAATTATAGTCAACTAGTTCCAAGTACGTTCAAAACATCCTCTACTCAATGTACAGATAACGGAAAATTATAGTCGACCTGTTCCAGGTACGTTCAAAATATCCTCTACTCAATGTACAGATAATGTAAAATTAAAGTAGGCCTGTTCCAGGTACGTTCAAAACATCCTCTACTCAATGTACAGATAACGGAAAATTATAGTCGACCTGTTCCAGGTACGTTCAAAATATCCTCTACTCAATGTACAGATAATGTAAAATTAAAGTAGGCCTGTTCCAGGTACGTTCAAAACATCCTCTACTCAATGTACAGATAACGTAAAATTTTAGTTGACTAGTTCCAAGTACGTTCTAAACCTATCAAATATTTTGGTGTGTGTGTACCTGGCTTAAAATATTGAAAATTAACTTTTGTTCAAACTTCATTTCAGGATATAGATAATATATAGTTTCAGACTGTGAGAAAAAAATTGAAAATAAAAGGAATTTAAAAATGTTTATATCAATATGACTTAAGCAAACATCACTTAAATTAGTAAATGTTATGGTCCACCATGATACAATTTAATGAGTGAATGTTTTTATCTAACAGGGAATGTTACAGTCCACATTGATACAGTTTAATGAGTGAATGTTTTTATTTAACAGGGAATGTTACGGTCCACATAGATACAGTTTAATGAGTGAATGTTTTTATCTTACGAGGAACGTTACGGTCCACATGGATACAGTTTAATGAGTGAATGTTTTTATCTAACGGGGAACGTTATGGTCCACATTGATACAGTTTAATGAGTGAATGTTTTTATCTAACAGGGAATGTTACAGTCCACATTGATACCGTTTAATGAGTGAATGTTTTTATCTAACAGGGAATGTTATGGTCCACATTGATACAGTTTAATGAGTGAATGTTTTTATCTAACAGGGAATGTTACAGTCCACATTGATACCGTTTAATGAGTGAATGTTTTTATCTAACAGGGAATGTTACGGTCCACATAAATAATACAGTTTAATGAGTGGATGTTTTTATCTAACAGGGAATGTTACGGTCCACATTGATACCGTTTAATGAGTGAATGTTTTTATCTAACAGGGAATGTTACGGTCCACATTGATACAGTTTAATGAGTGAATGTTTTTATCTCACAGGGAACGTTACTGTCCACATTGATACAGTTTAATGAGTGAATGTTTTTATTTAACAGGGAATATTACAGTATACATTGATAAATTTTAATGAGTGAATGTTTTTATCTAACAGGGAATGTTACGGTCCACATTGATACAGTTTAATGAGTGAATGTTTATATTTAACAGGGAATGTTACGGTCCACATGGATACAGTTTAATGAGTGAATGTTTTTATCTAACAGGGATTGTAACGGTCCACCATGATACAGTTTAATGAGTGAATGTTTTTATCTAACAGGGAATGTTACGGTCCACATTGACATGCCTTACCTGTAAACACAAGTCGGTGACCTTTGAAGTGTTTATGTACCTGTCCCTGCCGATTCCCTCGGGATCTCGCTGTAGTCTCCAGGTAAAACAGACACTTCTCACAGGAATTAACAGTATTTTATTGTTTCAACACAAATGCAACATGAAAATAATACTCAGCAGATGTGGAAAATTTTACATTTAGAATACTAGCCCGCAGATTGATTTTGGATTTTGATTTTGCCCAGTATCTAAACTCCTATCTCTGGTTGTTGGGCTAGTTGAATATTGTGTACCACTGCTAAGACTTAACATTGACAGTTTTTTTAACATTAATGCAAAAAGTCAAACTTGTAAAAAAAAACACTGTGCATTATTATGTATGTTTGGATTATTTTTGTGAGAAATAGTTTGTAATACAAAAGATACAGGAACTTTATGCCTTTTGTTGTTTAGGATTGCCTGCAGGAGTTCCTGAAGGTTGAGAAAATGACGGGCAGTTCTCGTTGGAAGTGTCCGAACTGTCGGGTCCAGCGAGATACAGAGAAGAAAATAGACATATGGAAACTTCCTCCCCTTCTTATCATAGCTCTGAACAGGTACAGAATACTAACTGTACTTGCACAGAAGGACTTATTCTCGTTAAACAAATCCTCATATTTTTGTAATTTAACCAAATCATATCATAAAAAAAAAATGGTTTTCATTTTTGTATTCAAGGTGTTTTTGTGTACATGTATATGTAAATATTTAATTTTCTAAAAATATACTGTTTCTTTTGAATCTGAGAATTTAGGTCTTTATAAACTGTGAAGAAGTATCTGTAAGCTTATAAGACAGCTTATTCCTTTCTGTCTGTAGACACCTTAAAGCGAGTTTAAATGTGTTATAGTCTAAATAAGACAGATGAACAATTATGGCTCAGGGGTGTCTCCTATGAATGTTATTGTTTGTTATAAATAGTGATTTATACTGCATTTTCAATCTTAAGCAACAAGTAAAATTTCAGGCATTTCCTATTCTAGAGTTCTGAAAAGAAAACTATATCTTGCAGAACTTCTATGAAAATAATAATAAAGGTGAAATAAGCCAAAAGAAAAATATTAATAATAAACAGTGTCCTGAATGTTAATGAACTCTAAACCTCCATTTATTACATACTGTCACTTGGTCAAGATCTTATTGACAAGGTAGCTCAATTTGTAACAGTGACAGTATGTTATACATGGAGGTTAAGATCTAATCATCTTGACCAAGTGGCAAAACAGTTATATTTCTATCAAAAAGAAAAATTAAGGGGAGGTTACTCTGTGTGTGAAACACTACTGTGGAACTCTCTAGTGTTTTGCCTGCAGTGGGACAGGGATCCTTAAATATAGGAACTCTCCTTTCTGTACTTATTAACACACATTTTAGCAAAAATAAATATCAAGTACAGGTAAAATATAAAAGGTAGTTAAAAGGCAACCTTATATTGGACGACAGTAAATGTTGACAGGGGCGTAGCTAGCTCTTGTTCGGAGTGAGTTTGTTAGGGAGCAGGTCCAGGGCCCCTATTCATGAAACCGTTCTTGTGCTCAAGCATGAATTCTGTGCTCAAACCAACATTCTTGTAACTCACTGAAATCATGTCCAACAATAAAAACATCAAATATAAACATTGAAAACAGTTTTCTGCTTTAAATCTCTTCAAAGTTTTTCAAAATCATTTACAGAGTAAGTTTTTAGGTCACCTGAGACAAAGTCTCAAGTGACCTATTGCGATCGCCTTTTGTCCGTCGTCGTCCGTCGTCGTCCGTCGTCCGTCGTGCGTCCGTAAACAATTTACATTTTCGACTTCTTCTCCAAAACCCCGGAACCAATTTCAATGAAATTTTGCAGGGACCTTCCATGGACAAAGGTCAACAAAATAGTTGCCGGTTTAGTCCTAAGCCCCCAGGGGCCTGAGGGGCAGGGCCAAAAAGGGTCAAATTGACTAAAATTTCAAAAATCTTCTTCTCCAAAACCTCTGAACCAATTTCAATGAAATTTTGCAGGGACCTTCCATGGACAAAGGTCAACAAAAATTGTTGCCGGTTTAGTCCTAAGCCCCCCGGGGCCTGAGGGGCGGGGCTAAAAAGGGTCAAATTGACTAAAATTTCAAAAATCTTCTTCTCAAGACCCAGATATGGTAGAATCAAATACTCTTCATAGATGGAAGGGTCTTAAGGTGCTTTACCAAAATTGTGAATTTCT